AGATGTATAAACATCTCAAAGGTCACTCACTACTCAGTCGAGTGTCCTTACCTGGAGCTGGCGGACGCTCGCCCCACAAGGGGTCACAGCTCAAGGCTGAAGAAGCTGCAAGCCCAGAAAACTGTGAGGGGTTACTTTTTCGGAGTGAGAGGTATGAACTCTTGGAACAACCTGCCAGAGAGTGTTGTGACGGCAACGAGTGTGAGCTCTTTCATGACCAGACTTGACCAACACTGGAGCAGGTTCAGATACATTCAGGAGCCGGTGCATGCCCAGTACTTACCAACATTGGGTAACAGATACATGACCGACCGCCGAAGCGGGTAACGAGCAGATCAGTGGTGAAGAGGATAAAAGTAAAAATAAAAGAATTTAAAGCCAATTAATATTTACTACGATTCACATTTAAGTTCGTTTACAGTTTTCTAATTAATATATGCTCCAATTTTCAGTATTATTTTACTTAATATACTTATAATACTCTAATACATTCTACAAATCGTGAGCACAAATTATTCAATATTTTCGCCGAACATTTCTCGAAAATAGTTTCAAAAACTTGCGAATAGTACCTGCTGCAGTTACCCAATAAACCTTGGCTTAAGAAAACGTGTCTTTGATTAATTTAGAGAAAATGAATATTTTATAATAGAGGATAAACTCAGTTAAACTCGACCTAGCTTAAACACGGACTTAACGTTAACGGTAGAGGAGTGTGTGGTGGGTGGAAGAGGTGTGTATGGTGAGTGGAAGAGGAGTGTGTGGTGAGTGGAAGAGGAGTGTGTTGTGAGTGGAAGAGGAGTGCGTGGTGAGTGGAAGAGGAGTGCGTGGTGAGTGGAAGAGGAGTGCGTGGTGAGTGGAAGAGGAGTGCGTGGTGAGTGGAAGAGAGGTGTGTGTGGTGGAAGAGGAGTGTGTGGTGAGTGGGAAGAGGAGTGTGGTGGGTGGATGAGGTGTGTGGTGAGTGGAAGAGGAGTGTGTGGTGGGTGGAAGAGGAGTGTGGTGGGTGGAAGAGGTGTGTGTGGTGGGTGGAAGAGGAGTGTGTGGTGGTAGAGGAGTGTGTGTGAGTGGAAGAGGAGGTGTGGTGGTGTGTGTGGTGTGTGGTGAGTGGAAGAGGAGTGTGTGGTGAGGGAAGAGGTGTGTGTGGTGAGGAAGAGGAGTGTGTGGTGAGTGGAAGAGAAGTGTGTGGTAGGTGGAAGAGGAGTGCGTGGTGGGTGGAAGAGGTGTGTGTGGTGAGTGGAAGAGGAGTGTGTGGTAGGTGGAAGAGGAGTGTGTGGTAGGTGGAAGAGGTGTGTGTGTTTGAAGTAAATGGTGATGTAACCGCCTTAGTTAAGGACGGTCGGGTGACGGGCAAGTCGAAGGGAATGATTGAAACTCGCCTTTTGACACACTCATTATTTATTGATACGGTCAAAAACCTGCAGAGAACAAGGCGTTTATTAGTATTATATTGTGATTCATCTGATACATAATTTGTTAGTCTCACACAATTTTATTTTAACAAAATAAGATCATTAAACATAGTGACATAATACAAAGTACATAACTCTATTAATCTTAGTTGCGCTTCATTTCACATTGTCTTATTATCCAGATAAGGTAAAAAATGAGTAGACATAATTAGTCCACAATATTTCAGTACTGAGGGTTACGTCATCACGTTGGCTGTACTTACAAGTGCGGGTCGAAGTAAATCAGTATGGTGTTCCAAGAGACAACAGTACTGCTTAAATTTTCTTATCACAAAACTCAGGGACAGGAATGTTAGTTGGTGTTCACTACTGCCAGCAGAGGGTGGCGATGCTTACAGTAGTATGGGTGAGATCTTTTCATCTCTCACATTTGTTTTTATCTGACCTTGTTAGATTACAACATCCAATAGTGGTGGTGATAACGTCACCATCATTTACTTAACGTTGATGTTGTTGTTGTTATCATGTTATTACTGAGCTTCAACAACGAAGCTCTTCAAGCGCGTACTAAGGTTAGTAATAAACTATTTCAACAACAATAAACAATTTAGAGCTATAGTTCTCTGTGGTACTTGACGAGAAGTGCGCATTCATAACTTGCTTTTATTTTGTTATTTCATCGAATATTCATATAAATATATACAGTACATATATTGTAACGTCTGATGAGCTGGTACGTGTAATTCAAGGATATTCTAACAAGGGCTAGAATGGAGAGACAATTTTCGTAGCATTAAACACGTAACATGCTGAGTCATATACAAATATGATTTATTCTTTGTGTTATATTTGAAAGAATCGCTACATTACAAATTGTACAATTGTTTGTGTGTGTTTTGTAATATGCAGTGAGGAGAATAATCAAATGATCTTTAACAAGCCACAAGATGTTGAAAACATCATCTAAAACAAGAGAGAGAGAGAGAGAGAGAGAGAGAGAGAGAGAGAGAGAGAGAGAGAGATTTTCTCTCGACATACGTAAATGTGGGTCATGTTGTCCATCTAAAGGAGACTTTAAAGTAATAAAACAGTAATTTAAAGAGAGAACTGATCCTTACCTGATCTTGGATGAAGGGGTATAGGCAATTCCCAGCTCAGCTCAGAGGACCGATATCATCTCATTAAACTATGTTGACGAATTTGTGTATTAGAATTTGGAAAGCGTTCACCTGGATGATGAAACATTGTATAAGAAATGTCACCCAAACACGGGAGATTTCTTTCTACAAACAGAAACTAAACAATGAAGTTGAAGAGAAATTCAGAATAAGACATTAATCCCATCTTGCTGGTGCCTGATAAAGCTGAAAGGACTTACCGAGCTTGACAAACCTGAGGAGGAAGTACCAACCACGTTTGCTGCATCAGCTCACTATGGTCAGAAAACTAGGACTACGTCTACCTTGAGTACCAGAGAAGCGTTCGTCGTAAACGTCCCGCTGACCACAAACACCGATTCTATATAACAAAGGAAGGAATCGGTCGCAAGTTGCTGGCAGTACACGAGAAAATTATCTAGATAATGATAATTTTTATGATAAAGATAACGTGACTATACAATTACCACTACTTGACAGGTATATGGTCCTATTAAAATATCACAATAGTATAAAGTGCAGACGAAGGCTCACAATTAATAAACCGTTTATTATTATTATTATTATTATTATTATTATTATTATTATTATTATTATTATTATTATTATTATTATTATTATTATTATTATTATTATTATTATTATTATTATAACCTGAAGACTGAAACTGAAAAATCAACATAAACCTCACCTCCAGGGATTAAATTTCCAACTGTCATCATTAGTGATAAAAGATCTTGTAAGTTACAAGATCTTACAAGTTGTAACCATGACCAGTCAGCTGTGTGTAGCAGTCACCGACAAACACATGATGATGATGATGACTCCCCGCAAAGATGATGAATGGAAAAAGGGAAAGTGGCCACTACCCTGAAGGTCTATAATCATATACAAGATAAAAAAAAACTAATCGGGAGTCGTCGGAGCATAATGGCAGATCAATAGCAGTAAAACAAGGCATGAAATTTGGGTTAGCATATCAGTATCTAAATTACTCAGATTCTCTTTCTGTGTCCGCAACATTTGCTGGGCTCAGCTTACGTCCCTTCAGAGAGTCATGCCTACGTTTACCGAGTGAGTAGTAAAAAACAATCATGGACCCTGATCAACTAAGTTATTTACATTGTATTTTTTTTTTTTTTTATATTCCTTCCGGGACAAGATGTACTGCTGTTAATAAGAAGAAATAAAAGGAAAGCAACTGAAGGGAACATCAGGTCGGGTCCAAGCAGCACACACTGTGGGAGTACAAGAACCAGCAGCAATAATCATCGTGTCCAACAACAACACAGACATTTCTTACATAACAGACAGTTATCTTAAGATCCTTGCAAATTATCTTAATCCATGATTTCTTCGTAGAAAAGCCGAGAGTATTCCTCTTAAGTGTCTTCCCCGTTGCCTTTTTGAGCAGTTCCTGGACACGTTGCCTTTTTTAGTAATTATATTTCTATAAATTGACGGGTTGGGATTTGGACGGTCTGGCAAGAGGTATTTCTACTGCTGTGTGTGCCCATTGATGCCTGATGCCCACCCCTCCCCACCCCCTCAGCATAGAGACAGATGGAGAGATATTTAACTTTAAGTAGTCGCCATGGTCACCTTCACGTAAAAGGGGATACTCGTACCTTCAGCTGAGACTCCTGGAGGATGAAGAAACTTGATAAAACCAAGAAACGAAAAAAAAATGTGTAAAAACAACCCCAATTGCCGCGAGAGGGTCAATAATGTTATACAACAGATAAATACACATTTATCTCGAAGACGTAACGTTTATAAGAATTTGAAGGAACACTCCTGACTGTTCCACAATTCTCACAAGAGAGAGGAGAAGACCCTCACCCCCAATAACCTCCTGGTAGGCTTTGTCACACAAAACACGTTACCGAAGACATTAAATTGAGTGGTTACATTTACAGTTAACAGTAGCAATTATGGACAATTAATTTAGTGTATGGAGAAAACACGTGCCTTCATCATAAGCTGGTATCTTGCTGTTCAAAACCACTTAAACGTGATAGCTTGTCAGTTGTCAGAACATAAAGGTAAATGAAATGAAATCATACCTGTAAATCCATCCGACCTAAACCACTTGAGGTCCAGAGATTTCTGTCTGGAATGTCTCCTCTGAGGTTTAAGACTGATTAAACGTAGAATGACTTGAACGAGAGGCAAAAGGAAAGTGTAGGCAGTTTGGTACACCTTACTGGACAGTACATAGCTGGAGGAACACATCTCGATCACTTGTTTTAACACCTCAACACTTGGAACATGTGCCAGATCAGGAGAGTGGTCTGGCGGCTCCTGTACGGACTTAAATATATCATGCTAAGGCCTCATCCCCCCCCACAGTTAAAAGCTATTATCTAAAATATTTTGTCTCAAAGTTATTAAAGGGGTTTTCGTTTCATATTTGGAAATATTGATACACAAATCATAGAAGATATTTTATTATCAAACTCATGCAGAAATTAAGTGCTACTGTGGTGTTGAGTTAAATTGACTCGAGGGTTTACTGAGCTCGACACAAACAGCGCTCACGATGAGCAATCGAACCCATAGAACAATGGAAGTACTGGCGGCCATAGGACTCCTCGCCAGACTCAAGAGTGATGTCGTCGAGGAACACTACGGTACCCATCTCGTGTGGGTGACCAGGAAGCCACATGTTGGACTGCAGGGACACAGGCTTCCCACCTAACATCTCCCACTCGCCGTCCACTTTACTCACACCTATCCACATGTAGGGATAGGGATCATAGGCGGCGCCTGTGGGGATACATGGTAACTTTACTATCAAACTTTACCATTGAAATACAGCATGAGAAAATATAGTGGCTGGATTGATATAGAACGCAATATGAGAACAATTTAAAAAGATCTAACGAGAAGACTGAACAATGAATAGAATCTTGAAATTGATAATAATAACTATGAAAAGAACAGTTTTCAGGTGTTGCCGATGTATTAATCTAAAAGCCATGATAAATTGGTCACTATTAACTCAAAATATGAGGAGGGAAATAATTCATGCAGTAAGAGAATACTAACAGATTACTCATCTGTGTGTGACCGTTATCGAGGAAGAGAGCAGACGTCATAAGCATCAGCAACGCGTAACGCTTCTTACTGGTGTTAGTAATTTTGAATTCTTTATTGATATGAAGTTTCTTAACTATGATAAAAATTAATTACATGTACTGTATATGGAAAAATCCAAACTACTGTTTCTCTGACTAAATGATTAAAGTAACAACATGAAGTTAAAATTCTGCTCAACAGAATGATTAAGAACTTATAACGTAATACCCAATAGTTTCCATCCAAATTAATAAATTCGACTTACCAGCAGTCAACCAGGTAAAGGAGAACGCCTCAAGTTGTTCAGCATCGTCGAAGGTGGCGAGATCGACGCCCCACTCTGTGGTGGTAAGATCCTGGCACAGTTTGCGACACCCGTCCCATGTTAGGTTAGTTCCTGGCTGGTCGATCACAGCGAAGCAGCCGCCACCAGCCTCAAAGAAATCACTGGGGCACTGAGCACCTGCGAGGAGCATAAGATGAACACTGAGTCGTCAGTCATATACTGTATACTGCTGGCCTTTATAAACTAACTTTCAAATTTTGCTGGCAGGTACTCTGGGTTTATGTTATTGTGACTCAATACTCTTAACACTTATATAGTCACAAAAGGGTTAACTCATGACGTTTATTAAAAGTTAAAACATTACCGAAATACTTAATAGCGTTTTACTTACCCACGAAGGCCACAACTGTAGCGAGGATCACCTGTGTTAGGAGAGACATCCTGTTGTCTGTGTGCCGAAAGCGATGGACTTCACATTTTATACTACTGTACGTTGGTATGACCAGACACGGTTTGACTTATCGTCGAACCTCTCAGAATCGAAGATGCACTTAATTTGAATTCTGATTGGCCAGTAATGTATGTCAAGCTGTTCAGCCAAATTCCCAAAATATCCCTTAGCAACATTAACCTTCTGGTACAATTCTCAGACACAATACGAGAAATCACTCCATGGCCTTGTTGATTACAGCAATGGACCTCGACAACGTCACCACCTTTAAATACTGTTACAGTATGCCTGGTGTTTAGGACTCTCTGTATGTTACTACTATCTCAACTAGAGGGATAAGTTCTTAAAAAGTAGTCCCAAATAAACTGGTCAGCATGCGGTATATTAATCATTGCTAAGATGGACCGACATACTAATTGTGATTAATTCTGGTGGTGGCGGCAGCAGTGGCTGTAATGGCGGCGGCGGTAATAGCGGCGACAACTGTGGTGGAATTACCATTGAGCTGAATCATAATGTTTCGGGAATATGCTTCTGGGGATAATGATCAGCCAGTACAGTTGGCGAGTTGTCCGGTCTTCCTGGGTTATTCCTAGACACAGCTAGTTAACTTGGGCGTTATGTTGGCGACATCTTCTACACATTATGCAAATTCATGTCTAGGTGGCCCTCGGGCCAGTTAGCATTGAACAGGAGGGACAACCATCCCTACTCCTGCCACTACAGTACATAATGGAGTTACTAGAGAAAGAGTTCATATGATTTGCTCAAAAATAATGTTCATAATCATGATTTCTTCCCTATTAATATATTAGTATATTATGATTGGCAATAGACTATAAGGAACATGAAAAATCTGCTGTTTTAATATAAGTCAATCATAATGAATAACATATTGTCTTTCTATGATATTTTGTTTAATAAGTTAGTGTTTTCTAACATTTTGTTGCAATCGACGAGGACCATCTTACAGTAGATATTCTGAGGCCATCTTGAATATTGGACGCCATTTTGAATCCCATCAATAAGGGATAATCTATAATGTGCTCATTGAATAAATCATAACCGAAAACTCCATCCTACATACCAGCCTATCTCACATGGCTCCTGAGATATGGGCCATAATATAACTATTGGGAGCCACCTTGGATTTTTGGTCGATCATGACCGCCAGTCATAAAACTATCCCACTCAACGGATCATAAATGTTAAAATCAATCGAATATGATACCAATATTGTCATTATATGATGTCTGTTTCAGATACAACTTATTTGCAGACGATTGTAATCTTTATGCCAGCAACTCAGATTTCCATTCCTTGATGATAACTATAAACAATGAATTGACTTAAGTCAGGACCCGGGTAACACGTAATAAACTGATCTTATACCTTTTACAGAAGGAAAAACCTACCCCCAGATTTGAACCCCTTTACCTTTGTAATACAGTCCTCAAACATGAACAAAATACTAATTTCTTTTGATTATTGTTGATGAAAAATTTAGCTGGAGAAACCACATACAAGCCATTCACAGTAAAGTCAATAAACAGTGCGGCATCCTGTATCACACTTGTCAGTCACTCACTCTTGCAGCAATGAAAGAAATCTATTATGATCTTGTTTTTCAACACTTGATACACTGTCACACACTATGGGGGACCTCTGGCTCTTCAAAAACACTTCTCTTGATTACTGCACAGAAGAGAGTTGTGCGGACAATGACCTACTTAAAAATTCTGATCACATTAACGAAAAATTTGCTAAATTGAAAATGTTAAAATTCGAGGATATTAACACCTATACTGCTGTGCCCTATTTGTTTACAAATCTGTCACGCACTTGATTGACTATAATTATTTCCAGTTCTGAAATAATCATAGATACAACTTAAGACAGCCAGAGCTACTAAGACCACCCCCCATGCGCTCCTCTCAGTCCCAGACCTCCATAAAATATCATGGTGTGAAGGTGTGGAACAACTTACCCCCACCCATCCGAGCAAAGACTACACTCCCTTCCTTTAATTTAATCATCTCTTAAAAAATATCTATTGTCTAAGCAGTGCCGGATTTAGACCTGTGGACCCATGGGCGAGTGAAGCGAGCCTAAACATCTGGGAGTTCCGTGGGGCGCTGTAAGCCCCCCGGGAAAAATGTGAAATTTGAACACTTCTTTGGAGAATTTTGAAGCCATATGCAGTTATATTGAGGAAATTAGAACATTGAGAAATTTTTAATTAACTGTATATTTATTGAGAGTGTACAAATTCCCAACACACACACACACACACACACACACACACACACACACACACACACACACAAAAGTGAGACATGACTGGAGTCATTCATGTGGTTTCAAGTCGACCAGCCCTGATATAGCTACTACCGCACATGTCAAAAATTTTCAAGAGACTTCACAGAAAAGAATATATTATTAGTTATTAGTTATTTGAAGGAGTAGCTAGCCTAATTTCTATCACGCTTCTTGCTGAACATAGTTTTACGTGATGGAATAGATAAACATGAATTTTAAAGAATGAAAATAAAAATAATCCAAATGAATAAACAAATAAATAAAATATTGTAATATGTGGAGGCCCCTGGGCAGCTGCCCACTTTGCCCACTCCTGAATCCGGCCCTGTGTCTAAGTATTAATATTTTTGTAATACCTACTTTATATTCCTGCTTATATTGTACCACCAAAGCCATTATATCATAGATTGTCATGTAGATAGATAGAAATTACCATTGCAATAATTATAGTTGCCGACTAGACATGATACTGACAGCTCTATCTTCTTGTTCCACCATATACAACCCATGTTGTACTGCTTCCTTCCCTTATCATATTTATGTATATCATCACCGCTGTAGCATATGTATATATTCTTAAAATATAAATGTAAAAAAATAAATAAAAAATAAATAAATAACGAAGTGATAATCGTGATAACATTCTGATATGTTCTTACTACCACCATGTTACGTGTACTATTCCTGATGATACTAAATGTTACATATACTTCCTTGAGATAAATTTACAATATATATCAGGTGCCTTCAAGAGAGCTCAGGCTCTCAACTGGCTCAGCCATGTTAATATTGTTATTATCATCGACTCTGGATCTGTATTTTTCTGGCTAAATAAACTGTTTCAATATCAATATCAACTTTCAGTTTTCATCGGCCATCTTGGATTTGGTCTCCTGGCGGAAAAGCAGACAGGTTGCAGAAAGCCTACCTATGATTGTTTGTGTTTTCACCCTTTGGGTCAATTAACAATAATCCAGTCTCATCCTTCCTAATAGGGCTGAGACTATACTTTGTTGCGTCCTACACACCTGTGACACTGTTGGTCACCTCGCCAAAGAAGCAACCCTCGCCCTCTCCTTCAACCATCTCAAATCTCTGATACACACCGGACAACATGAGACATTCGACGAACACAGGTTGAATCTGAAACATGGGGGAAGTGACACAGTACGCCACTTTGACGCAGTAACCGGAGATGACAACCACCATTACAAAGAGTATCATTCCTGGACTCGATCTCAACAGATTATGCACACGAGGCTGCGCCTGGGCTACAAGTACGAACATTGACAACCCTGTGCCTGGCCGCACTACCTGTAAACCCTCCCTCACTACATCTTGATTTGTTCCGAGACCTCCGCCTACAGGATCCCAGCTTCCACCAACTTACATCGTCCCTCCTTGATAACCCTCTGGCCAGAGACAGACTTAACACTTGACTTTATTAGGGACCTGTCACGTTTTGCTGTGAACAGATGAACCTGTACAGGAAATACCACCTCCATACATTCATTCTTCCTCAACTACACAACCAATAGACCCCTCGGGTACTCACACCCGTAAACTGTATAAGTCAGAGAAGTCAAGTATAAACTCCACATACTTCCCTGTTGGGCGCTCTGATGCTTTTGAGCTTTGTCTTGCACATTATATAAGGAGACGCCCAATAAACTCGCCCGCGCTGCAGAGGAGCAAACCTAAATATAAAATGTGAATCTCCTACTACTGGTACCACGGTACTACGAAAAGGCATCTCGAAGACTAAAGAGGTTGGGAGGGAGGGGGGTGAGCGTGCCGTGTGGAAAGCAGAGCTGGGATAGTGGGTGGTCGTGGTAAAGGTGGGCGACAGTGATGGTGGTGGAGACCACGCCACCAAATGAACTCTTGGCAAAATGACCAAACTTATCATAACTCTACCTAACGTTAGGTAAGTTTGAGTTGGTTTAGCTTAGATTAAGTTGGGTTGAGTCGGGTTGGTATAGGTTAGTTTGTCAGCCCATTTCACGAATTGGGCAAAATGTCTGCTCATTTCATGAACTGGGCAATTTCACAAACGGGGCATAACATATACAGTATGGGTAGCTTGTGGTGGTAAGGAAAACACAGTCATCTGTTGGAGTTTATTCTGTAACATTTCGGTCATTGGTCATAGATTTTGGTCACACAGAATGTCAACTACAAAGAGGAACACAGTTAAAGGTCAGGTTTATCCTGGGCGCCACACATTGGCTGGGTCTTGGCTCTGCCTCCCATATACTGATTGTTCATTGGTATATTACAGTGAAACAGAACGTGGCCTCACAGAGGTGACGTAGGCCAACTTCAGACCTCCAATTCACTTGTCCTACACATAGATTAATTTGGCCACTTGCCAAACTGGATAGCAGCAGGTAATATTTGCCAAGATGTGAACAAGAGGATGAGGGTAGTAGAAGTAACACACACAACAACAGCACACAGGCAACTAATATCAAGAAGGGTTCCTGTGTTTTTTAAAAGCATCAAATGCTAAACGAAATGTTGACAACAATTTCTTCTCATGAACGTTAATAATTTTCATCATCAGTGATTTTGGCTGTAATACAAAATAGTAGTATTTCTGCTTCACGTTATGTGAGCTTTTAATAAATAGAAACACTTTTTGCCGCATTGTTTGAATGCCCAGCGCGAGTTATCAGCCTGACTATTTGCGCGTCACGCCACACCACAGGGAAGCTTCTGCGGGTACACAACGACATACAGTCCCATAAATGTTTTTGAGTATCCTGCCCTGGAATGTAAGTACCTACTTTCGTTTGTTTTATTTTCATGTTGTATCAAAGTAAGATTGCTAAAAGTAGTGTAGTTGTATTGTAGTGTAGTATTACTGGAAAATGATGCTATGATTATGTTATAAATATATTTATTTGTGGAATTATTATTCCGATAATTATTTCTATGCATTACTTGCTCTCCCAAACACAAAGGTAGCCAGACAGCCTGGGGAGTGGGGAGGGCCGGATTCAGGAGTGAGCAAAGTGGGCAGCTGCCCAGGGGCCTCCACAATCTGGGGGCCTCCACATATTACAATATTTTATTTATTTGTTTATTCATTTGGATTATTTTTATTTTTATTCTTTAAAATTCATGTTTATCTATATATATATATATACAGTTAATTAAAAATTTCTCAATGTTCTAATTTCTTCAATATAACTACATATGGCTTCAAAATTCTCCAAAGAAGTGTTCAAATTTCAAATTTTTCCCGGGGGTCTTACTGCGCCCCTCGGAACTCCCAGATGTTTAGGCTCGCTTCACTCGCCACCCCACCCTCTTGGGTAGTTATAATGAGGGGGGGCCTCCACAAAGAGGCTGCCCATGGGCCTCCACAGGTCTAAATCCGGCACTGCTGGGGACAGACTGCGTGTGTGTCGCCGAGCACTTTTTATGAACAATAATGCAAATACAATAAATTCTAAATGAATTATTTTTAGGAAATAAGTATTATGAACAGTAAATATATGCATTACTGGCCATCCCGGACACAAAGGCAAGCAGAAAATGGCTGCGAAATGCATACGTGACCACGAGCGCTATCCGTCAAAACAATGCTGCCCCCTATCTCTCTCGCTCTGCGCTGCCCCAGGGAAGTTTTATTGTTTTATCATTAAAAAGGGTTGAAAATTATTTTTTGAGAAGTTGATTTTTCTCGATTTACCCGCGTGGGGGATACCGCGTGGGGGATACGGTCAGCGGCACCCTAGCCCGGGGCGTAGGGCTCCTTTAACGTTATTCTTACACACTTGTCTAATACATCACCGTGTACTTGCAGCTGTGTGTGTACCATATCTACCTGCTCGACGATAATTAAAACTTACACGTAAACAAAAATAAGCATACAGGTATTATTTGTTCATATAATGATGTTTAATACATACTTCAGAAACTTGGAAAGAATAAATGAAAAAAAATTATAGATACAGAGAGTTCAGGAAGGAGGGGGGAGGCGTATAACAACAGGGACGAAGCTCTCGTGTGAGACTGTACCAGGATGGTAACGTGTGAAGGTAATACTACGTGTGCCTCGGTGTTTAATACACGAACACGTTACAGGAGACAGAGCATCCTAAAACATGGGTGTAGACGTGACACAAGGCTCGACGCAGATGAGTTGTGTGGGAAGTTTCTCTCATTGGATGGGAATAATGACAGATGGACGGACATAAGGTGTGTCGTCAGGCTGCCTCAAGCACCACATAGTACAGTGTCATAAGCATTCGTCATGAGTCACAATGTTTTAACTTTATGGTTATTATATAAGCTTGTTTTAATTGTTTTTAATTATGGTAACAATATGACCGACGTGACACCTTATTTGTCTGTTGTCCATCATATAAACAATAGCCTCGTATTATAGTGCTTTAGCTTTTTTTATTGGAAGTAAAGATAACATCCACTCGAGTTACTTTATCACCAAGTGGGATATATGAAGTGAAAGTGACCCTTGGTGTGTGTGTGTGTGTGTGTGTGTGTGTGTGTGTGTGTGTGTGTGTGTGTGTGTGTGTGTTTCATAAATAATCACCATATCCATAAATCTTATTAAAGTATAAAGTCACGGAGAAATTGTCTTAAAATTCTATCGATGAAAGATTATATACCATTACATCCTATAGAGATACACTCAAACGGCACTTGTAAAATCTCGCAGAATCGACACACGTATTTCCAAGACAACCAAGAAGTAGGGTGTGATTATGTATGACAAATTACTGTATATGGTCAAATTAACTCTAAAATTAACTGTAATGAGACGCCCACACAACAGTTTCAATCTCTGCCTGGTGTTTAAAAACTTACTTCTTTCCTGAGCTAAATAATGGTTTATTTTATAGTTCCATTTATAACTCTTATTTTTGGTTTGTTCTCAATAGAAAATGTAAGTAGTCTGTGGATATTTCTGTCTGTTTCAGGTGACCTAACCAATGGAAATAATTTATGTTGTAGTTTTCTAGGGTCATCCTAGGTCGAACTGGTTTACTTTTTACCAGTTGTGTGTATCTGCACTCTCTACGTATTCTCTGTACCTTCACTGTCCAACCCCCTTATACCAATTGATTCCTTCACCCCATCCTTCCATGTTCTTCTTAGTCTGCTCTTCTCCCTCTTAGCATTTCATATAAATACTCTTTTTAACAATATTTTACTTTTCATTCTCTAAATATGTCCTTACCGTCTCATCAGACCCTAATTGACTCTCCACTCAATGTTTCTTTCACTCTCACATCCCTTCTATACAACTGAATATTTCATTCTCTTAATCTCACTCAACTCAAATATTTCTTAAAAACACATTATTGCTGTTGCTTCTGATTTGCTCTTTCCCGTTACACCCACAGACCAGCCTTCGCATCTACACTGTAAAATCTCCCCAATAATTCCCCTGCATATGTTAATCTTTTACTCCCAGAATACGGTTCCCTCTTTCCACACATTCTCTAGTCCACCTATTAATGTCCAGGCTTTCTTTCCCCCGTTACCTTGTGATTGGTTCAGGTCACTGCTTGTCGTCTCATTGACTACCGCACGACCCGCTGCCAGATATTTTAAACATTCCACATCCTCCCTTCTATCTCCATTCAAAGTTCCATTTATTTTTCCATCTCCGTTATATACTTATTTTCATCATTTTCGTTTGTTCATTCTCGCTATCGACTATCTCCTAGTAAATATTCTTCTTCAGACTCATTCACAAAGACGTCCCCTTGAACGGTGTCATCTACAAAAAGTGTCAGAGAGACTTGTCCACCATATCGTTATTGAACAAACGGCCTTACACTGCGGGGGTATAGTAGGTTAGGGTATATTCTTTGTCACTTGGTACAGGTGCCTCCAGTGGCTCAGGCTGCCACTCACTTAAGGTTAGTCAAGTGTTGGGTCCTCACCTCTGCTGGACACAGTTCTCGATTGACAATGAGAGGCATGTACAGCACAACATCGAATATTCTTACAATAAACTAATTTGCCAGTGATGTTTTAAAGTTCTCCAAAATTTAACAATATTATCGCGACGTGGCAGTTGACCTAAAATGTGGTTGGTGTAGGTTTACCAACTCATATTTACTCCCGTGGCCATCTGTTACTGTACATGTTCACATTCTCGAGAGATAAGATGTCACCACAGAAAGAACCACACTTGAGGTCACTCTAATACTGCAACGATTTGCCAGAAAGTTCAGCAGACTGACAGTACAATGTCAGCCTCCCTCACTGAAGTTATCCTCGCTCTTCTCGTGGCGCTCTGTGTGGGTATGTGGGCACTTGTTTATTTAGATATTATTATGTGTGGGTATATGATCACCTATATACTTATTTGGTATTATTGTGTAAAGACATGTGGGCATATGTGACGATAGAGACATGTGATTATCGATGTGTGTGTGTGTGTGTGTGTGTGTGTGTGTGTGTGGCCTCACTCCCATTTTAACATAAAGAGCTAAAAAAATATGGTTATGTAATCGAAAGTTTCTAAAATAAACCTGGGCACCGTCGGGTACTCCAGCTATAGTTAGGTTATAGCAGTTTGGTGATACTCTGACTAGTTGTCAAAGTTAGTATGAAATGAATCCAGTACTCTCAAACCTACTCCATTTACTTTCATCCTCAGCTACAGGTGAAGAATGCCCTCCTGGGTTCTTCGAGGCAGGAGGCGGATGTTTCCATGTTGGTGAGCAGGAGAGTGTTGGCCCGACCATGCTGGACTGGGAGGCTGCGCGGGCCCTCTGTGTTAACCTCGTTCACAAAGGCTGGCTGGTAGACCTGGCTACCTTTGACTCTACCGACCAGCTTGAGGGCGTCTCCGAGCAGTGGTCACTGATTGGTAAGCTATATTAGTGTGATCGTCTTTTATTAAATTGTTGTCAGGAGTAATTTGATGTTGTACGTCTTTGAGAAGTGTGGTAATGGTAGAGCAGACGGTTAACACCAGAAGGAGTTCACAGAATTGGACCAATATTTTCAGAGGTGTTAGGTAGGTTTGGTTAGGTTCTGTGCATTGTCGTATCGATCATCTTATTTAGTAGCAGTTTAACCAGGGTCTCCTCCCTCTGGAGTTCGGACCCCCAATCATATAAGTTTTAGGTTGGGAACCCATTTCACAAACTGGGCAAAATAACTGCCCAGTTCATGACCTGGACAGTCTCACAAATGGGGCGTAACATACAGTATATACACATAAGGCTGTACTTAGAACACTTAACCACGTGACAAATATCGTACACTGGATGTCGTTTACCTCTGGCCAGGTAATATTAAGCCTTGACAAATATTGCTGTGTCCCCAGCGTTCTGGACATACGCCACACCATTTTTTTCACAGAAAACGGGTATTACAGATTTGAGTCTGTGGTTATTTATCATTCAATTTTCAAACTTATAATATCGGAAAATGTCTGAAAGGAGACTCAGGTAGTTTGTGTTTCAATCAGCCATCGTGAGGACTGATGAGGCTGAAACAAATCTTCTTCTTAGATAATCATTCTATGCCCGGTGGATATTGTTTTACTGGTAACATAATGTGTATGACATGAAAGTGCAGTAAACACACATACTTTATCTCCAGCCGACAAATACGACTACGAATACCCTTACATGTGGGTGGGTATCCACAAGGCGGAGGATCAATATGTTGGTGTAGACGGCCAGGCGGTGTCCTTATTCTCCAACCTATGGCGTGAGGGTCATCCCTTGGAAGAGAACGAGTTCGCTTACCTGAATGATGTAACCTTGACCTCAGCGTACTCCTACGGCCGCCTCTACGTGGTCAGCTCCCCACCTGCTGTCATCCGGCGTTGCATGTGCCGAGCCAAGGTTGTGTCGCTTGACGCAAACTTGTGATGAAATGCAGTTTACTCGCAAGACAACAATGACTGCTACATTATGTGAAACAGATAGATGAATAAAAAACGATAAATGGATAAATTGGCTTGAATTTTTTTTCTCCCCATGTTTTCTTAAGTGATATCAAGATAACCAATACTCGGGACACTTAAATGTCTCATTAATATTTATTTTGTCCGCCATGTTGTGTCACCAAAAAGAGTTCCGCCTTCATATACTCTGCCTCCCACAAGAGTAAGGGGCATATTTTAGTAGAAACTGGTAACAGATGGATTCTACACAATTTGGACATGCTAATTACAGATCAGTTTGTTAGCAAACTTTATTTTGAAGTTTTGACCTACAAAAACTGAAATAAATATTCCCATTAAAACTCCATTTGGAATGTATTATGAACTGTTTGTAACATTGTCTCTATTTGTCTCCTCCTCTGTGCATCTGACCTGTTTGTTGACTGCCTGTGTTGAGCATTGTCTTTTTTTTTTTACCCACCCTGTAATGGCTCATCACTCACTCCTTAAAGGAATGACAGTGAAGGCACAATGTAGCGCTTAAGGAAGACCCGAATCCTTTGGCAACCAAAGCGTCATGCGCCAGAGATGTGTTCTTGGCGACTCGGGAAACGAGTTGAAAAATATTGGTTTGTGAAACTCGTTGTAAATCTCGTGGGTTTGTTGACGGTGTTGAAACTTAATGTCGACAGTAAATGGTAAGCGTTGGTGTTGTCATACACACCCAGTTTGCTTCCTTTCTCTTTTTTATTGTGTATTTATCTGCCTCTATTTTTGTTTGCTCCCTTGTTTGTCTGTCTGTCAGTTTTAACTGTTAGCCAGTTTCATTGTCTATGCATGTGTTCTTGTCTGTCTGATTTTTCTATGTCCTTGTGTTTATATATATATATATATATATATATATATATATATATATATATATATATATATATATATATATATATATATATATATATATATATAAACAGATCATGTGGGTGTGTGTGTGTGTGTGTATGTGTAAGTGGGTACCGCTATAAAGGTGGCTGCTGAGGGTGACAGCAAAGAACTGTTGCTGAGGAACACTGTAGTGCCGCCCTCAGCGTCTCCAAGGCGTGGCTCATCGCGGCAGGAGTAACGGGGGCCTGATGGGCGCTGCCAATATACTCAAAATTGATGCCACATTCAAGATGGTTCATTACGTCATGCAAACTCCCCGACCCACTCACCACCACCACTGGACGCCGAATGATAAGTCGTATCTCTCTTAGTTATAAAAATCATTTTTTTATAGAACTGCCTCATCGATATAGAACTGTAAGTAATTATATTTATTTGATTCGTGTTTAATTCGGGTTTCAGTTAATCCGTTAGCACTTCACTTTCTGAAACAGGAGAAAAACAAGGAATAAGAGTCGGGGTCTTGGCGTGGGTGGAGTTAGCGGGCTGGTAGGGATGTCTGCAGGGAATTTTACACACACATACACACACACACACCTGAGTCCATCCCGGCTTTTACCATAGACCAAAAAAGTCCATTAGGTTAATCGACTACAATATTACTCGTGAAAGACCTTACTCTGTCTACATTCCTGAGCCAGACGACGGATACAGGAGACAACTCAGTAACCTGACGACGGGGAGCGGAAAAGACGTCGTATCGTGGTTTGAGTGGTGGACTTGTGGTGCGCCGCGATGGATAGTCGAGTGGGACTTAACAAATCAGCCAATCATGTTACTAATAAGCAAATTACAGAGTCGAGCGGCCAGCGGCGGGACTCCATGACTGTTAATGTCATGAGTGGACATCCCTGTTGGCCACCTCGAGGATTAATTCTTTTTTTTTCTACTTGATATATTTGTTTAGACTCAAACATTAAACCTTTATCGCAATATTGTCTCTGGATATGATTTTTTATATTCCTTTAAATGGCTTACGAAAGAAACAATCATCTTTAAGATGTCATTAGACCGACGCAATAATGACTCATTAACTATCTCCCAGGAATGTAAACCACCTAAGGATCGCCTCTTGACGGGCGTGTAAAACATAACATACAGGGGGCGTAATGCATACTTCCACATAATACAAAACTCGACTTTGGTTTTCACAATTAACAGAATCTTGTACGGGCAGAGGAGAGGCAGGCAAGAAATTCGAGAGATCTCATCGAAGTGCCATAAACCAGACCAGAGCGCCATGACAGACAGGCTCTCGACCATGAAGGAGTGCTTTGAGTGAAGTATTTTTACGTCCTTAACGTCCCTTTGAAACGTTGATGTTCGTTTTCAACCGTCAGTAAGCCACCACGATCCTCACCCCACCGGTCCCTATCGGAGCCTAGGCTATCTATAGCGTGGATGACGCATCCACTAGTCTGGGGAGATGTTTGAAGACCAGTAGAATCGGGTATCTCCGTGAATCCCGAGCGTCAGAATCCCCCCACTACCACCTATGGGCCCCATAGCTGGCCAGCCTTCCCCTAACGCTCACTGCCCAAGTGGTGACACCGGATCATCAGGCCCCACAAACAGCTACCAGCCCCCATCACTGGTGGATGAGTCCATGACTCAGTAGGGCTATTTTGTGGTTGTGTTATTCCACCTATCGGAGTTTGTTGGAAGGTGCCACGTGGTGATGAGACTCCCATGGCGGCCGCTTGAGTATTACTCCTAGGGTTGTTGAGTGTTGTAACTGGCGTCATTGCCACGGATTTTAATGGTGCTAAGGTGCTGTGAGAGTTTACGTGTGGTATGGTGTGTGTACACCCAATCGTGGTGTAAGTAAATTGAGCCTGAGGTTATAGTACAAAGAGTTCCTATTTGTGCATTAATAACGTCATTTTAATAACCATTTTGTGTCTTTAATAAACCATTGTATTTGTATTTTGGGTCTCTTATTCATCTGGAGTATTCACCGTTGTTCTTTCCTATTGCTTGATACTATAATTATATGTACCCATGGGCCAAATCCTCGAGTCACGCTACTACAGGTCAGAGGTTGAAGTTAAAATAATGTTATCAGAGTCCAAGCTCTTATATTGTAACGGTTTCTCTTACTGTTGACTCATCTGGAGTTTAATAATCCAGGCAGTCGTTACAGAGGCCTGGCTTTCTTATCACGACTTAGGTGGTCTAGAGGTACATGATACAGAAGCAGACTTGTTGTGATTATAAGGCCTGGCTTATTAATTGGGGAGTTTTATGCATTAGCGAGTTTTGTCTTGTTTAACTTGGTTGTCGGTGTTACAGCCTGGCCAGGTAAATCCACCTCTCCCTGCTTCCATTTTGTTTATAAACTGACATCAAGAACCAAACACACATCATCTCCAGCTTTACTTAGATATTTTGATATATATTTTATCTTTACCCGTAGAAATTGAGATGACCTCTCATAACCTTTGAGAATTAGGGTTACCTGTACTTTACCTGAAAGAAAATTAAGGCATTAAGACTATTGAAATTAGATGGTATTTCTTTCCCGAAGTAAAGATTAAAAGAAATTAACGTACGAACCTTTGGAAATCCGGTACCCAGGTTATCCTCGTTGTTAAACTAAAAAAACAAAGAATCTTGAAGTCGTCGATACAGAAGGAACACGTCGACTCAAGGACCTACTTCTCAGAAAAACCAAGGAGACAGGACGACCGTAAATCCAAGAGACCGACCGCTACTCTTCGTCAGATGAAGAGGCTGGGTGCAGGAGGCGCCTGTAGCCCCACTGAACTAGTCTAGGAATGTTAATAGCGCGCGTACTCTCTTCACACGGCACAGTAATGTGATCAGGGGCTGGATTTTTTAATTAAGGTACGTTTAATGTCGTCCAGTCCGGTGTGATGGCTGCATAAACGGCGGAGGGTATGTGAGGTTTAACCCACTTTTGAGCCCAGACTACAAACGTCACTCCGAGACTTTTTTTTTGTTATCTTATTTTCATCTAGAAATATACTAGCTGTTATTCTGACAGATAAAGAGTTTGATACTTAACCACGAGGTGAAAGCTGAATAATATCTATCATAAATTCGGTGGGGGAAAAAACATGAAATAGATGTAGAAATATTTCATAATTTAGAGACCGGTTCACACCCACGATAATAATACATAGTAAATTAATGTCTTAGATAATGAGGAGTGATGCTATCATTTCCATAAGTCCGTAAGGGAATCATAGGACCACGTAATGTATTTATGTGGTAAGCTAAGTATTTAAGAGATCTAACTTGTTATAAACTTTGTGTTCTTCACCATTAAGTGTGTTCATCATCACCCTCAGTATGTGCTTCACCACCCTCAGTATGTGCTTCACCACCCTCAGTATGTGCTTCATCATCCTCAGTATGTGCTTCACCACCCTCAGTAGGTGCTTTGCACCCTCAGTATGTGCTTCACCACCCTCAGTATGTGCTTCATCACCCTCAGTAGTTGCTTCGCACCCTCAGTATGTGCTTCACCACCCTCAGTATGTGCTTCATCACCCTCAGTCAGTTGCTTCGCACCCTCAGTATGTGCTTCACCCTCAGTATGTGCTTCCATCACCCTCAGTATGTGCTTCATCACCCTTAGTATGTGCTTCACCACCCTCAGTATGTGTTTCACCACCCTCAGTATGTGCTTCACCACCCTCAGTATGTGCTTCGCACCCCTCAGTATGTGCTTTGCACCCTCAGTATGTGCTTCACCACCCTCAGTATGTGCTTCATCACCCTCAGTATGTGCTTCGCACCCTCAGTATGTGCTTCACCACCCCTCAGTATGTGCCTCACCACCCCCAGTATGTGCTTCACCACCCTCAGTATGTGCTTCACCACCCTCAGTATGTGTTTAACCACCCTCAGTATGTGCTTCATCACCCTTAGTATGTGCTTCACCACCCTCAGTATGTGTTTCACCACCTCAGTATGTGCTTCATCACCCTCAGTATGTGCTTCACCCTCAGTATGTGCTTCACCACCCTCTGTATGTGCTTCATCACCCTCAGTATGTGCTTCATCACCCTCAGTATGTGCGCACCTCAGTATGTGCTTCACCACCCTCAGTATGTGCCTCATCACCCTCAGTATGTGCCTTATCACCCTCAGTATGTGCTTCAA